GCAGAAGATCAAATAGATACAGAGACTGAATTTATACTCCCACTTCACAGGTGATTCTTTCCAACCAGGTTTAAGGGATTATGTTTGGAAGCTGAATCAAAAAAGTTCTGTTGCAGCTACCCAAAGTCTCGGTCACCCTGAGAAGACACACTACTCAAAATAAGCTGATTTAAGAACTGTATGGCTTTTAATAAAGCTTTTTAATAAAGTTCAGATCAGGCCTTGACTATAATTGCTACAATTATCATGTTGACCATTTGTATTAGCAGCACATTTATAAGATTTTTTCCTAAAGCAGCATTACAGAAAAAACTACTTGGAATCAAAAAGAATTCTGCAAAATGAAAGGTCAACAACCTACAGTCAAACTTTAGTGAAAGTATCAATTGTAATATTAAAGACTATTATATAATTTTACCTACAAAATTTACTGCTATTCATCTGGAATAGTGACAGTATTAATACCTATTGGTGAACTGTCAGAAATTATGTATGAAAGAAGGCATACAACACATGCAGTGTCGTGTCAGCAAACATGAAGAACAATTAGTGAACTCTAAAGCTAATTCTGTGTGTGTGTAAATTCAAATCCAAGACACTTTCACCAGTAAGATGTTAGATATCATGTTAGAACACATGAATCTAACAATACCTTCATAATCTTCAAGATAATGAGACAGCATTAATACAAAGAATTTTGAAATAGAACACTGACACCCATGACAAGGGAGGCTGTACAGCTGCTTCAGCAACATTGCTTCATTAATCGTTTCTGAGCACTAGAAGCTGTTAAAGGTGAAAACGAAAATATTTGAAAATCAGCTTAAAGTAAGTCTTCTTTGTGTGTCTGGGTTCATTTATTACAGTACTCTCACTGGCTGCAACACAAAATGACACTTTCTCCAAGACATATTTTCCTCTTTTCATTATATTTCATTCTCATGGTTTGTCATTTAGTTGTCATGTTTTCACCATGGGCCTCAGAGAAACCCTCAAAGAAAACCCCAACCAACAACATCTAAAGCAATATATGTAAGAAATATTTTAAGAAACAAATTGCTGCAGCATTCTCCTCATGCAGCATCATCTTAAATATTCTGGATTCTCCTTTGAAGAGCCCACATCTAACTTTACTATGCAGCTCCAAGCTGAAAAAGACAGTATTATTATAAAAACCAAAAGACAAGGAAGACTGAAGAAATTAGTATTTAGCAACAGATCACGATTTTTGGGTTTTTTTTAATTACACACAGTGAATCAGAAACTGTATCCTATTGATTGTGTGAACAGCACAATGGTCTCTATCTTCTGCTGTGATTTATATATGCTCAGTCATGGAAAATATAACTGCCCAATTGCTACATGTATGGCCATAGTTCAGAATTTCATATATATTCCTGATCCACTCACACAAATTGGGTACATTTGCAGTCATCTGCTTGCCATTGCAGCAAATTTATAATTCAATTACTCTTTTATTGTGGTCTTTGTTTTCTTTGGAATTACGTTCCACAAAAATATCTTTTAAGAAAATACTTCTAGGAAAATTGATTATTCTCTGATTAACTGATGTTGAAACACTTACCTGTGACTTCCTAAAGTCTAAAAATAAGGAGAAACAAAGGTAATTAAAAAAGAAATTAAGTTTGCAAATCAGCATTATTTTTCAAAATGCACCAACTACTTTCAGTGGTATAACATGAAAATATCATTTTACTTAGAAGACTGTTTGAAAGTAAAATAATAGAACTTGTTTAGACAGCTTTTAGAGTAGCTGACCAGACCTTCCCAGCAATTTCAAAAGACAAATCTATTTTTTTCATCTGGGCTTTATGGATGCCCTACATTCAGCTTAATTCCAGTTCATCTGTATGTAGGACAATGATTTTGGAAAAATACATCCTGTTAGTTCCACATTTCCAGGGCAGATCTCCACAACCCAGGAGAAATCTGTCAATTTTCTGAAAGTTGAAAACCCAGAAGGAATAATCTAAGCAAAAGTCTTTAGCATTATTTTAACAGACTTGTTAACTATAATCGCATCAGCAATTGTCCCTGCATCAAAAAAGGGCTCTGAGAGCCAGTATCACCTTCCAGCTGCTAGCCAGCTCTACACTTGTTGCCAAATGAGTTAAAAATGCTGACATCCCAAATGATTTATCCCTAGGCAGAAGGCAAAGAAATGGAAACTGTTGTGGGGGAAGGGAGGCACAGAAAACACAGAGGAAAGCAGCAAATAGGAAGACACAGAAAGCCCTTGTTCCAGGGGAAGGAAGAAATGGGGACATAAAAGGGCTTCTCTCATTGCCACCAGCAGTTCAGAAGTTGATCATTGCTCTCCTCCCCACAGGCTGGATGGTGCAAAGAGTCACCCACAAGATGAGCTGTGTGTGCTTGTGCCTGTGCATGAACACATGTGTGGGTAGGAAGCAAGGACAGTGAGGGACAGTGGAGCAGCACCTCACCCTCCCACTTCAAGCTTCACCAGGGGCTAGTCCTACGTGAAGAGACTCTTTCCTTTTGCTCTTGTAACAAGTTGATTTTAAGACACTGAGGGTGAAATTCCTAGGAACTGTTTTTTGCCTGCAGTGCATACCCAGAAATCTTTCATCAGATAGGAGCTGCCATCCTGTGTTCAACACATCCCCTTGTCACAACCACCTTTTCTCTTTTACTGGGGAGCCCTCCAACAAGTACTAACAAAGTAGAAGCTTCTGGAAATACAAACTTTGATGAATAATAATTCTGTTCTTCACAACACTCAGGAAAATAATGAATTCTCCTTTTCATGTAATTATTATTTAAACAGCAATGTCTACATGGTATGCAAAATAAAACACTAAGTTTCTTGTCTGGTACCAACTACACAGTCACCTGCAGCTCAACTAGGTCCTGCTGATGCAATAACATGTAGCACTTAGTATGTCATTGTCCTACTGTATTACAAAACACCACAAGCAATTTTCACTGCTATAAGACAGAACATGAAAAAAGATCATGGCAACCATGGACTTCCTTTCAGTCTGCGCCAGAAGTACTCCTGATCCAAACTTACCAGCCCAGCACAATTCAGAGTGACTTAAATGATGTGGAGGAATATGCTTTGACTAAAGAGGTAACAAAAGTACTATAATATTCTTATACCGAAATGCTGCTGCATCCACTCCCAGTGATTTATATTTGTAAAAGCAAATGACACACTACTGCTACTTGCCTGACATTTGGGTACATCATCACGCAAGCATCTCCCAGAATGCTTAATAAGGCAGATGCTTAACTAACAAAAAGATAAAGTGGGTAATTTCCTACATACTGATTAGAACTACTCTATGACCCACACAAAGAAATCCTGTGAAGAAAGCAGTGATGTGATTAAAACTGGAGTGGCTGCAACTATCATACTCAATGAAATAATCAAGGAATGGTCCCAAAAACGGTGTCTGAGATAAAACCCTCCCATTAACTGCCCTAACAGTCTGTCTACATCCTGCATCTAACAATGCATGAACATGGAGAAAATACTCCAGAACGTGCCTTAGATTAATTTGGATTATATTTCTGTAGTGTGATTCACTCAGAAAAATAAAATTGAACATTTATTTCAGTGTCCATGGCACTTCCTAATTAGCCACTCCTTGCGCACAGCATAAATTTAGGCCTCTATGAGTTACAGTACTGAGGTTTCTATGACCAAAGCAAACCTATGAATACAAGAGGGCTCCTTGCAGGTGTGAGCTTGCACAGCCAGAACCCACTGCAGGACTGTGACCAAACAGACATCTTCATTAAGGTATTTGTAATGGTGCTGAGGAATGTTTCCCTAAGAAAGCCAAACCTTGTAATTAACATACATAATATTTTCTTCTGGATGAGATCAGCTAGAGCTTTGTAACTGTTATCAGTTATTCTTAATAACACATCTCTGATTAGGATGCACACACTCGCAGTGTCTCGTTTGCTTACTTCTGGCTTGGTGTAAACTTATTACGATGGTGCAACCCAGCTGCTCTGCCACCAGGTACTGGCAGCACATGCACTTGTCTGGACACAGCACTGCCAGCTCTGCTATTTTACTTGATGTTGCTCCAACGCACCCACAACTTCTGAATTATGGGATCCAACCTTAGCAGTGAGTTCCTCTGAAGTGACGCCTAAACTGCCAATAAACTTGCACTGGTAACCTGTGCCACCTACTTCTTGCCCTTCCCTGAAGGGCCCTAAGAAACAAAGTACCCCCGCAGACACACACATTCCTCCCTCAAAAAGTGGGCCCAGAAAGGCGAGGAGAAGGAAGAACACGTCGGAGGTGTGAAGGCGCCAAGGTGATCTTTGAACACTCGTTCCTCACGGCAGCCCGCGGAGAGATGAGCAGCCCCCGCCCGTGCTGCCCGGAAGAGGCTGCAGGTGTGCCGGCCAGGGGCAGGGCGGCTCCCGCTCGCCGCGCTCCCCGTCCCGCACGAAGCCGGCCGGGGGCGCCCCCGCCGTCCCGCGGTTCCCGCGCCCCCCGTCCCGTCCCCGCCCCCCTCCTGACGGCGCAGGGGGAACGCAGCCGCCCCGCGCCGCGTGCGCGGAGCACGGCCACGGCCACGCTGACCCCCGCCCGCTGCCCGGCGGGTCCAGCCGCGTCCCGCCGGCTCGGCTGCTCGGCGGCACCGCCGCGCCGCAGGGAGGGAGCGGGGCGGGAGGGAGCGGGGGAAGGAAGGGGGCAGCCCGGCGGCTCCGGACGCCTCGCCGGGTCCCCGCCGAGCTCCCCGCAGGGAAGGCGCCTGGATGCCCTCCCGCCCGCCGCTGCCCCGGCAGACGCCGGGCGGCTCTCGCCGGCGCCACAACCCCGTCTCTGCCACCCCCTCCGCGCCGTACCCGTCCCGCCGCTGCTGCTCCCCGGCCCGGGGGGAGCGGCAGCCCGGCCGCCGCTCGGGCAATGAATGGAAGTGCACCCAGCGGTCCCCGTCCTCCCTCCCTCTCGACCCCGCACAACTTCAGCGGGGCCGCCGCCTCACCTCTGCCGGGCAGAGGCGGCTCCTCCGCACTGGGGCACTGCTGTCGTCGTCACCGTCGTCGCCGCCGCCTCCGGCCCCCGCCCCGCCAGGCTCACCCTTTTCGGCTCCCGCCGCGACCATGCACCGAGAGAGGAGGAACTGGATCCCTCTGAGCGCCGACCCGACCGCCCCCAGCCGGAGGGAGGGAGAGAGGGAGGGAGCCGCGGCGAGGGGCGGGGAGGGACGGGACGCGGCCGCCCTGCCCTGCCCAGGACCAGCCCCCTCGCACTGACGTCCCCGCTCTCACACCGCCGGCCGCGGCGAACCGCCCGGACCCGGGCCGGGCGGGAGGCGAGCGAGGGGAGGGAGGTACTGCGTCCACGGGCGGCCTGGTGTGCCCCGGTCAGCGTCACAGCTGCGGGGACAGGCTCTGAGAACAGCAGGAATAACCTCTGCCCTGCCATCCTGGCGTTTGAATAACCAAGGCTTCTCGTTCTACCCCCTCCGACGCAGCTGGCCGAGAACGGGCGCTGGGCTGCGCGACTGGCGGTGTCACACCCTGTACTGTCCACTGCACTGCGCATCACAGTCAGTCTGCTCCACTGGACCTAGCCATGGTGGATGCACTGAATGGAAAGCAAGAATGGTAAACACCAACTTGCCCTGTCTCCAAACATTCCTCTTAGTCTAGACCTTGCAATTTAAATTGCAAGCAAATGTCTAAAAAATTGCCTGCGATAGTTTTCTTTTCAAACCTTTTTCCCTCAGAATAAATAACTTCCCACCAGTCTCCCTTTCAAATCACAGTTAACACTCTTCCAGTTTCAAAGCAGCACTCTGATGACCCAGGCTTTTCCAGAACTTTGTAATTTTACAAATACCTTGAGATGTCTAGTGCTAAGCACATATGTATCTACAGGCTGTGACACTCATTTAAAGCATCTGCAGAGAAAATTAAGGTTTCGGCTTGGATATGTCTCTGCATGCCTCTGCTATCCCCTGCTGTTGCACCCCTGTGCAATATGCTGATCGTTGCAAGTGGATGACAGGTGTCTAACTTCATACAGCTCATCTCAGTGTCAGCTTCATTTGCTAAATTGGAATTGGCTGTTGCAATAGATAAAACCAGCTGCTAAGTGAGTCAATAAAATAAATCACTCTGGGTATCTCAGAGACATAAATGAAGTGCTACACCAGTGCGAAACTTAATTTGCTGCAGCTAAAGCTGTTCTCCTTCTGCGAAAAAGTAAGGAGTTCTCTTTTCACAGCTATCAGAATGATATCTTTCACAAACGCTGCTTTTACTTGAAGCTATGGCTTTGGTCTGAATTACCTTCTCACTGTGATGACACAGAGGAATCAGTACAGGCTAGTCCTGCTAACTGCTGGGACTCCAAAGTCTTCAACTGTGCAAAAGCATATTCCATCTGACTGGACCCAGCTGGGGGATCTGTGCTTTTTCATTTGGAGTCCACTGCTCAGAAAACCAAAAGTCAGTTAATGTTTTCCCAAGTACACAGGCTGAGGAATTCAAAAGAAGCATAAAACCCCAAGAATTATGTTCCTGTGGCAGAAACATTAAAAACATACACAGCTATTTACACTTACTGAGAAGAGAGTGTATGCTTTCATGTCTGATTATTGTCCAAACTTGTATCCTTACGTTACTTTTCCTCTTTCTGGACAAGTCATCAAATGAAACGTTCTTAAAAAAAGTTTTATTAGACATATTTTTGTTTGTTCCCTTTAAAGATCTGAAAATTCATTTTCTACAAAATGAGGGTGTCTTTGTATAGCTGAGCTCTCTCTGACCTGTCAGAGCAGCTGAGTAGGAGACAACTCAATAGGTCTGTCCAAAAATAAACACCTCTTTAAAGAATATTTTAACCCGAGATTTCACACAAATAGTGATGTGACAACATTATTCAATAACACAAAACTAATATAACACCATATTAGTTTTCAAAAAGCTATGGGCCTTTTGTATTCCAGTTTTGGAGTGACTTTGAGCTAGTATCCATAATAATGGATCTGCTACTTTTGGATCAGTGCTTTCTGAAACAGATAAATGCTCCATCTGTTAGAACCATGATAGTCCATCAATAACGTGAAACCAAAAAGTATAAAATCTGCATTGCAAATATGCATGTAGCAAATATCAGTTTTCTCACTGGTCATCTATTAATTTTTAAAACAATAAGTGAAATGCTAATTGATTCAACAAAGCTTACCCAGAATGAAAGGAAATAATTATTAAAGCATCCCTACTATTTTCATTTATGAAGACTGCTTTTAAACCTAGACACTCATGTGTGTCCAAATCACATATAAGTCGTACAGCAATTAAGATATTGGATAAAGAATGATGTTGTGATGGTTGCTGCAGTACTGGAGCTGATGGTTGCTGCAGTACTGGAGCTAATGGCTGCAGTAACCTCTTCTTCCTCCTACATTAACTGTTTAAAAATTGTTTGCTATTTAAAAATACACAGTAGGAACAATTACACAGTGCTGCTATCAGTTAGTGGTAATGTGCAGGTTTAGCCATTGGACAGAGTAATTACTCATGTAAATGATGACACCTGATAATAAGCAAACGATAACCCACAGAACAGTCTGACCCCATTGGATGCTGTCTGGTCCTCAGCACATACTGTTACAGATACTTTTTACCATACTATCCTAGATGAAGAAGCACGTGTGGCAAGCTCAGTGCATCAGGTTGTGGAGTTGAATGAGTCTGCGGCTTAGAAAAACAGCCACAAGCAGGCTGTTTTTTCCTACCTTCAGTAGGAGGCAGGAAGCAGATCTCTGAAATCCCCTGATTCAGACCTGCAGGCCAAGGATTGGGACCCAGACAATCTAAGCATAGCATATAATTTTCTTAATTTGAACTTTTTATTTATTTGGAATTGGTGTGAGGAACTTGGTATTTCCTTCTATTGAAGCAGTAAGGTTCTAATGCTAACTAATTACTATATGGGCTTTGATGTGCAGCTTTAATCATTTTTATTTTGCTTATCTGAAGCCCAACTGCACAAACAAATAACTCATCACCAGAACTTAGCACATATGCATTATCCAAACAGGAAATAGAGATGTCAAACAAGCACACTTTGGATTAAGTAATATATGAGATGAAAAAGATGATATAATGTTTTTTCCTCTTGCTCATAGATCTTCCCAAGTATTAACTTCATAGACATTCATCTGTTTAGACAGTTTTCCTCCCTAAATATTGGTTTACTTGTAACCCTAGAAAGTAGTACCTGACCTCATTTTGATTGATCGATTTAAATTCTCCATGGACCGTTAGAATGAAGGATTATTTTTCCCCTGAAATTTCCTGAAGTTCACCTGAACAAATACAGCCTTGGATGTGGCCCAGAAAACATTCTCTGAAGGTTGTAAGAATAGAATATAGACAAGGCAGACAAAACAGGATAGCAGACAGTACCACCAAAGAGACTATGACATCCGAATAACTAGCAAATAACATATAGGTTGGAAAGAAGAACAGACACTATTTGGCTCAAAATGAAGTTCTCACTTAGTCTGTGAATAGTCACTGGAAACTATTAAAAATATTGGAGAAGATGCAAAAATGTCTTTATGGTGCTTACAAAAAGCTAAAATTGAACACAGGGAATATCATGTATTGTCTTAGTTAGAACGGCTGGGATCAATTCATCACTGGATGGGTGTAACTCAAAACTGTGTATTCTATAGCCTTCCATGCCATTTCCCAGAAACTGTTATCAGTAGAGGCCTGCGAGATAGGAAGATGTTCCTGTCCTCATACCCTTTTATGGAATTCCCCGCTCTGAGGGAGGGACTGAG